ATCTCTCCCTCTCTCTCTCTTCATCCATCTCTCCCTCTCTCTCTCTTCATCCATCTCTCCCTCTCTCTCTCTCTCCATCCCTCTCTCCCTCTCTCTCTCTCTCCATCCATCTCTCCCTCTCTCTCTCTCTCCATCCATCTCTCCCTCTCTCCATCCATCTCTCCCTCTCTCTCTTCATCCATCTCTCCCTCTCTCTCTTCATCCATCTCTCCCTCTCTCTCTCTTCATCCATCTCTCCCTCTCTCTCTCTTCATCCATCTCTCCCTCTCTCTCTCTCTCCATCCATCTCTCCCTCTCTCTCTCTCTCCATCCATCTCTCCCTCTCTCTCTCTCTCCATCTATCTCTCCCTCTCTCTCTCTCTTCATCAATCTCTCCCTCTCTCTCTCTCTTCATCAATCTCTCCCTCTCTCTCTCTCTTCATCCATCTCTCCATCCATCTCTCCCTCTCTCCATCCATCTCTCCCTCTCCATCCATCTCTCCCTCTCTCCATCCATCTCTCCCTCTCTCCATCCATCTCTCCCTCTCTCCATCCATCCATCCATCCATCCATCCATCCATCCATCCATCCATCCATCCTCTCTGTGTCTCTCTGTGTGTCTGTCTGTGTGTGTCTGTGTGTATGTGCAACATCCACAAGAAAGGTAAGACATCCTTATTAGGACGGTTACTTTAGTGACAACTGTTCCTTGCCTTGTTACCAAGCAGCATGAGCACCACATCCTGCTGGGCGAATTCATGGATCTCAGTCAGCCATGCCTGGTAAGCACACACACAAAAAAAGGATTTAAAACAAAATTAAAAAAAATGAAGAGGAAAAAAATCAATACAAAATTACATAAAATGCATCATTTCCAAAAAGAAGCACAAAAATTATTGCATAAATATAATTAAAAAGCTTAAAGAAACCCTGTCTGGACCTCGACAAGGACGGGGCGCACATTAAATCTAATAAGCTGAATAATAATGAATCGGGAAAGGAAAGTTAACAAGTGCTCTTGGTGATGAAATTTTGTGATAAACGATGAAGAAAAATACTCCAAGGACAAAAAGAAAGTAAAGCGTAGAACAGCATGTGAGAAGCAGGAACTGTGACAGAGCAGGTTAATCTACTTCCTGTTTGCTCCACACACAGGACTAATGAAGGCCTGCAGGGGACAAACAGCACTGCTGACTGGATGCTCTCTGACAGCAGCCCAACCATCCGTCCTCTGTTAATGAGCAGTTAATTACCTCTGATGAACACCTGCGAAAGCTCGCTGATGAAATATTATTGTTTGCATCAGCAAAAAACCCGATTGTTCCTGCAGTGGAATTAGATTTCTGACTGATGATGATTTTTTTAAACGGTCCAGCTCCCCTGACTGCTTCTTCTAGTGATGACTTGGTGTTTGTGAAGAGGTTTGATGGGGTCGCCTCCACGCAAAGGTCAGAACAAGATTAAAAATAGCCGATAAGGAAGAATGTGGTCTGACACCACACTGTAGACAACAATGAAAAAAACGTTTGACAATATTCAAACAGTTTTTTTTCCTCAAATAGATTAAAATGTGTTGATTAAAACTGAACAAAATGAAAATTTGCTGCATTAAACATCTTTTGAAATTATAGCCCAGCAGCTAAAGTTTCTCAGAATAAAGGCTCGGATTTCACACTAGATGAATGTTTTTAAACTTTAATCTTTTGAATTTTGTTTTTGTTGGACAGTTTATTTTCAAAGCCTGAACAGGCAATACATTGTGTTTTCTTATATTAACCATAACTAAGTTACTAAATCAATTATTGTGCGTGATAAAACTTTAAAGCAGACAAGGTTGTTGTTTTACCAAGTCTTCATTAAATTGACTAATTTATCAAATTGTTTTGTGTTTGTGCCTTTTATCAGAGCACTTTAGGCTAATAGGTGGAATAAATATATATAACAAGGCCTATGTTTGGTTTGGTCTGAGGTTTTAAGAGGTACTACATGTAGTAAAAAATACTGCATACAGATGCATCTGAAAAATTAGAATATTGTGAAAAAGCTCAATGTTTCTTGTCAATCATTTCAGAAAGTGAAACTCGTATATTACATAGAATCATTACGGACACTATAATCCAAGCAACTAAAATAACATATAAACTTCCTAATCTACATTTGAATCAAAGTTGTTGTAATTTTAACTGGTATACATTTAGAAATAATCCTCAGCTTTCTTTATAACCATTTTAATTTCATTTGAATTAACCATTTTTCTCTACCTGGAAATCCCTTTTTATCATGTTTGTTGACATTGTCAAACCTAGAAAATCTTTTTAAATTTACCGCTGGAAATCCTGATTAAAAACAATTTAGACCAATTAAATCAAGTTTTCAAAGCTGCTCTCTCAAAAATAAAAACACACAAATTGCTCGTTCAATACAAAAAGAAATTAGCATTTTACTCGGCCATTATTCAGTAAAACTGCACAGTTTAAACTTTTCTTTTAGGTCACTTTGATAAAAGAGCAGCAAAGCTTATTGATCAACAGAGATAATGGCCACACACATTCAATTCTATTCTAAAATGTTCTCCAATACTTTGTTTTTCTTCAACTTGAGCCTGGAGTCAGTAAATTTTACCAATGTTTAAACTAAAACAAGTATTTTCTACTAATTTTAACATAACAAATAAGAAAAACGTTTGATAAATATATTTCTGGATAAACATTAATATATACAAGATGTTTAGTTGTGTTTTTATTTATATTTTATTTAGGTAGACAATAAATTGGCGTTATTCTCTACAATAGTGGTTGTGCATATACATAATTTATGCTCCCATTAATCCTCTAGGTTATCGTTTTTAATTTAAATTAAAAATGAATCACTTTTGTTGTCAGATGAGCTTTAGAATCAGAGGTCAGACCAGATGTGGACTCTGAGGTTCTGAAATCACATTATTACCTTTTGGGGAGGGGAAAAATATGAACCATGATTGGAATTAATTAATTTGGTTTCAATCTGCATCATGAGTGCTGAAAAACGGAGTGAAAAATAACCTCAAAAGTTGTCTCTGATTTTCTTTGTATGTTGGATTATTTCTGATCATCATATCATCACAGAATCCAGATGTTACCGCTCGCCACTTCCATCTAAAGAGCTTATTGTGCTCTCATCACAGAAAAGGGAGGCAATCTGCGCGGCATTTTGGTGGCAGACACCAGTTTCAGAAGCGACTGAGCAGATTCCAGTAATCATGATACGAATAACTGGAACGTTTTAGTCTTTACACGTCATTTGCCGTTTGTTTTAAGAAATACGAGCCCTAAACTTGACTGTAGCTTGTGACTCAACACTTCCTGCATGACAGCAGCACAGCTGGAAACAAGGAAGAACATGGTAGAGATATAGTTGTGAAGGAACAGTTTTCCGAGTTAAACATATGTACTTATTTAAATAAATAAATAAACCTTGCCGTCAAGGAGCAAAAAACTCAAAGGAATTTTCATCACTAATTATTGATGATTTCAGGGGTGAATAAGGCATTAACAATGAAAATAAAATACATTTATTTAACTTTATTTAACCCTTCAGCATTAGCCCTGCAGAGAATATTTTGAAAAAGATTGTGATATAATGTGAAACACGGCAGGATGGAAATATTTGAAAACAAGCAGCAACAGGAGGCATCGACTCTGGACGTCTGAGCAGAAAAGCATAAAAAAAAAAGAAAAGAAAGCTGAAACATTTAAGGTTCACTTGATACAGATGTGGTGAAAAACACTGCAGGGCAGAGGCACCAGCATGACCTTCATGGAGAAATTGT